GTCCAGGCCGATCGAAATCAGAAAATTATCCTCTTTTGTCCAACGCCCTGAAAGACCACCACCAGACCGGGGCCTTCTGTCTGTGTGCGTAAAGCTGCAGGTTGGCTGGTTGCCCGTTTGAGGGACCTTACAGCGTCGGTTTTTGGGAAAACTGTCAGTTAATGACAAGAAGGAAGAATCCAAACTCTTTCTGTTCTAGTTTAATTGCAAACCAGTTGCATTTTGGGGCATGTCTTTGACATGCGCCTTGCTGCCTGGCACAGCGTTTGAAGTAAGATGAGCAAACACGCTGATGTATGCCCCATGCATCTCCTTGAATTTTTGGCAGCATGTACAAAACCCGTCATACTCCCAAAAGACTTGGTTGCCAGCTTCCCAAGACTCATGCACAATTCTTGTCTTGAAAAGAATCACCAGTCAAACGGCAAAGGCCCGTGAGGCACTTGGAGGTTCCTGAGCGGCTCCAGTGCGATCAATGGTTTTTTACAATGTTTAACATATTTCCCAACAGCAGAGCGCAGTGGTGCGCAGTTACAGCGCTCCAAAACCTGCATTCCGTCGTGGAAATCTAGGCACTGTCTAGAACCTTGGGTGGTGTCTGGGGTGGGAGCGGTGAAAAAACAGAATTTCATCCTTGCGTGCTGCGTTCGGAGAGGCCGGGCGAACAACGTGACATATTGGAGATATCGTAAGACTATGATTTTGGTGGCAGACCTCCATGTCGCACCTTGAAACCACACACCATAAGACTACAATGTGTTCGTTGCGCATCAATGCCACAGGCAGTAGCGTGTCCCTTGCAGGACGTTGCTTCACCGGCAACAGTCTTTGCACTTGTAGTGTGCCATTTGTCGCCGCTACGAAGCAGTCTTTCTACGCAGCGAAAAACATATTGTATGCGCAGTAAGGCCACAGGCAGTTGCAAGACGTTTCTGCGCCGGCAACAGTTTTGTATTTGTGGCGTGGTTCCTTCCTCCGCTGCGAAGGCTTTTTACGCACCAAAAGCTATGTGTTCTGTGAGTCGCTATGCCGCAGGCAGTTGCGTGTAGCTAGCAGGACCTTTCTGCACAGGCAACATCTGTACACACCATAGACCTGCTCTATGCGTAGCAGCTAAAGGCATGCGCATGTACTTAGCCGGGTGTTGCACGTGGGGTGTCTCCGTTGCGAAGCATTCTTTCTATTCAGCACAAAACATCTTCTTTGCGCAAGGAGGCCACATACTTAGCAGGGCATTTTCGCAACAGCTTTTCCACTGTTAGTGCCAGCTACGAAGAAGTGCTTCTATGCAGCGCAAAACATGTTGCATGCGCAGCAAGGCCACAGGCAGTTGCAGATACCCAGCAAATGCACTTGTGGTGTGCTTTCTCTTCATGTTACAATTCATTCTTTCTACGCGGTAGTCTTGGTAAGATCAACCGTGCGGCAGGTGCTTGTACATGACATACCTAGCTTGTAGTTCTGCTGCGCTTTCCTCTTGCCTGCTCCCCAGCTCCTGGACCCCAGTTCCTGCTTCCGTTTTTGCTCCCCTGCCAGCTGCCTTTGCACTTCACGAATGGATTCGGCGTACATGTGCGAAGCATGGTTGGAGTGATTGAAAAGTTCCAGTCAATTGAGTTGCTACCTGCTGTTGGATTGCAAAGCTGGGTTAGTTTCATACCCTCCTGAGCACCGTCAGGCCTGCGAAATTGGCTCCTCTTCAGAGGGTAACAGCCACTCTCGCAACCTGATGCTTCAGAAAAGCACCACTTTGGAAATTCAAACGCGGGAGTCTATGCTGGCTCAACCTCTATAGAGGTCAAATGTGTTTCAAGTGTTCGAAGAGCAGTATTCATGTTGTATCAAGTATGCAACTGTTTGGAAGGAGAAAAACATTGATGGAATCTGGTTCAATATGCTTTTCTTGAGTATCTCTCCCAGCAATAGGCTGTTCCCCTTCGCTAAAGCTGGACAACTGAGACCCCGGCAACTTGCTGACGCTGGTCTCCCTTGCTGAGACACCCTGAAAAATGCGCCTGGAAGCCGATTCCAAAGCAGCTGAGGTCTTGAAAAACTGGAAAAATTGTTCAGATTGCCCTTCATGAAACGCAGATAGGTGTGATTTGCTTTCCTCGATTCCTTGCAACAATCGTCCTGCCTCTGCAAGGCCTCGTGCGCTTGTCGCAGGGACATCTCATCTAACACCTCTCCAGCGGCAAAACTGCCCTTTGTCACGCATTCCAATCTTGCTTTTCCTGAGTGTCCTGTTCTCTGGGTACTAAACTCATAAACCAAACCTTAAATCCCCTTTTTGAAGCTTGTGTAGTGCGAATTGGATTCTGCCAGACTGAGCTCTGATTGGGTTCTTGCAATGTATGCAATGCAAAACTGTTGCATTGTTATTGCTTCTGAATGCGAAGCCCCGCCTTTTCCCGTAGTATCAAGCACCAACGGCCGCATGGACCCTCCAGGCCTCATGGTGCAAGATACAACTGTTACGAAATGCAAAAGGCCACAAGTTTGACACACTGAACCACGATCCAGAACATGATGTGAAAAGCAGGACTGAACGTGTCGTATTCTTTCTTTGAAGCCTCGTAAACCACTGGGCAAACACTTAGCATGAGGGCTGTTTGTTGGCTGCCACGGCACTCAGGCCCGATGCCAAGCACGGAGATACGGATCTCACCATGCGTCCCAAACAGGGAGAGTGCTCTGCTCTGCCCACCTTGATAGGGACTTGTCAGCGGCCAAACCACACCCGATTGATGAAAGTCTTGGATGTTGAAACTGTCAAAGGCCAAACAAGTCTGCCTGCCAAGGTCATGGATACCCGATTGAAATGGCTGAAGGCATGGCAAAACCAGGTCGTCTGAGAGAGAGAGAGAGAATACATGCAAGGGAGGAGTGAGTGGGTAGCTGTGTTGGCTATCATTCACGTGGGCTCTGGAATGACTTTGGGGATAATAATCCAAGCCTGTTCCATTGACCTGAAGTGCCCAAACTTGAACAAGGGAGGCTCGGCCTCCTCTTCAAAAAGTCTTTCCACACCTCCTCACCACAGCTGGCAAATGAACGGTCTCCCCAAACAAGGAGCTTATAAGAGCTTAGTGGTTCTCTAACTTATGGCGGCACAATTTGTTCAGAAGCTTTGCCAAAGCTCAGATCAGACCAGGTCAAGATTGACTGCTTGTACGTTCCAGACCACCGTTCTTCTTTGTCAAGAGTCAAACAAAAAATACATATGGCCAAATACAGTAAATGAATGGATGTGTGTGTGTGTGTCGGAATAGGAAGACTCCCCAGCCACTGAAGGCGTTGATTTCTATTCTGTCTCTTCCCATGAGTCTTCAAATGAGTCTCTCTCACGGCAGATCATGAAAATTCAAAACGCATCCGAAGTCCTTGGCCGCTGCGCTCTTCTGCGCTCTTCTGCAGCAATTCCACATAGCTGGGCAACTTCCATGAGCCATCGTGAAATGCCTTGGATGGGCCGCTGCTAAGTATCCTCATCGTCTTTCTTCGAGCGAAAAAAAAAAAAAAAAAACAATCTTCACTATGGATCACTATGGATCATTTGCCAAGCCTGCGGGCTGCTCTTTCTACATCTTTTGCGACCCAAAAGGCCAGTACCAGCTTCAAGAGCGACTCAGTAGCTTCCCAGGCCCATGCCTTGATCTCCTCTCAAGGAGCCAAGCAGGAGTCATAGGGACAGTCAAGAGCAATAAGGTTCTACAGGATTAGAAACATGTATACTGTGCAACGGTAAAGAGTCAAAGCTTGAAATCTGTCTCACAGGCTCATGACTCGAAAACTGCGACATACTTTGTCAGTTTCGTTTCACAGGCATTGCCCACCTCTTCGTACTCACCCTTGCAGTCGTCCAGCATGCAGGGAGATGTATTGATTTCCTCAGATGTCGCATCCTGCCAACCTCTGACAGACCACCCTGTTGGAAGCCAAGTGGCAATCGAATGCAACATTTGGGTATGTATTAAAATAGGGAGACCTCCCAGTCAAAACCCTATTAGAATACAAACCCATTTTATCTTTAGCCTTTTGAACATTAAATGTGAGTCCAGCACTTCCTTGCCTTATGGGCTACCTTCCGCCTTTATACCCCGATTGCACTCCTTTCGAGGATGTTGCGCCAGGAAACCAGCAACCATGGCTGCCAACTTTCATCCAAACCTTGGCCATCAAGACATGCAGCCAGACGTGAGTGTTTTTATGTTCTCTTGCACTTCCACTAGCATTCGCCGGATCAATTTCAGAAGAACCGTAGATCCCCGGGTGGCTGGAGGCTCCAAAACCACATCAAAAGCCTTGGGGTAACTGGTAAGTTGCAGCCGGGTGTCCAAAATCCAGACCAAAAAGCTCCTCAGTGCTGAGGTATTGGGTACCATCAGTATCATACAAAAGACATCAAAAGACCAACGAAAATCAAAGAAATACAGAAGGCTGTGGAAGGTTTCACAAAAGCTCTCGAGACTTGGACTCTAGACTCTCTCTCTCTAGACTTGGCATTTTCTGTGATCGAAGTGTGCCAGTCAACATTCAGAGAGAAATGTATATAAGTATCACTTAACATCCTGCCTTTATTTACAAAGCACGAATGAAAGGTGGGAAACTCGTGGATCCTTATGCCTTATGCGATTCATTTGGCAATATCCATATCTCAATCCTGTTCTGATCACGACCGAGTTTCGAAGGCCTTCGCTGATGTATTTCGGTTGGACGCCATTGTGCATTGGGTGGCAAACAGGCTGGCACGAACAGCGTCGAGAAGCCTGAAAGAGCGTTGCATGTCCCAGGCCGGAACAAGCAAACTTAAACAGAACTACCTTAAACGTCTGATACAGTAATTGTTATGAACAACTGAATATAGCAAGTGGGAGCCCTCCAAGAATGACATGCCAATACATGCAGCTTTCCAGTATGTGTAGTCAAGAACACCAGCGGGTAGTCAATGTTGTCATTCGTTTGGAATAGATGCTGTAACCCATTCTAAGCATTCAAAGTCAAATGTATTCTGTATTCCTTTGCAAAAACATCAGCCTAGGCCAGGTCCTGGTCTTCCAGCGCTCTGCAGCGCCGTGGCCCACTGACTCAAAAAGCACCTGAGCAAACGTCAGGATGGAACTGATTAAGAAGCCCCAACCGTGAAGGCCCTTCTTCGGGGAAGCTAGCAAACAGACTTGTCCAAAATTATGCTTGGTAAAACTCAACAGATTCTGTTGACGTTCAAAGCGATAATTCAGTAATTCAGTATGATTATCTTTTTGGAATCTACACAAGACATGATTCCGCACCTTCATTGGTACACGATTTTCCGTGTCTCTGCAGTTGGTCTTGTGTGCATTAGGCTCCATGGAATCCTTGGACGATGCGCAAAGGGCCGGCATGAGGGCATGGACACGAATCGTCTGGGCAAAGTACTCAGCAATTATGGACGTGTCGGTTGTGAAGATGTCAAGCTTGACCTCTAAGGCTCCAAGGTCAAAATCACAACGAAAAGTGATCGGATGACAATGATCAAAACGAGAAATCGACTTTGGGTAAGCAAGACGCATTCAAGTCATGCACTTCAACTGGCAAAGTCAAGCATCAAATTGGAAGGGGCGCGTTGCAATCCGAAAGTAGACTTCAGGATGCACGAAGACCGTCAAAGGATTCCAATCCTGTCACAAAGTTTGTATGTTTGGCAGCTTCACCATAAAACATCCGTCTAGCCTAGCCAGGGTCTCTTGTTTTTCTTTATATAATTCTGACATGAGCGCAACCAGTCCAGCACCAACACCCAAACTCGAAGGTCGCATTTGGCAGGACCATGGGGCTGGTTCACCAACAAAGGCCGCTCAATGTACTTCTGCGCCTGAGTTGAAGTCGGAATTCAGCTGCGCAAATTGCAAAATAATAGAAACCCAATGTGCTCGTTTTCGAAGACTATGGAGGACATTGTGCAACGGAATGCAATGGACTAATCTCCGCGTGGCTGTCGGCAAGTGGCATCGTGCGAAACCATCAAGCATTTCAATGGTCCGGGGTGAAAACTCCTTTCAACCAAGCAAGAACCTCATTCAAACAATTATGAAATTATGAACCTGATGGGGGAACAGCTATCCGCAGTCTCTCGCAATGAATCTCAATGCGGGGTACACTGATCATAGACCAACTTGGTCCCCATCTGGAATAACAACAAAAGTTATTCCAGGGTGGTCCGACATGTCAACCCACCTTTTGAACAACACGGTGTGAAAAATGAACATTGAAAATGACATTGTGAAACTCAAGGCCGCGTTCTTCTCCTGTTCGTCTTCAAAGTTCTAGGATTCCCAAAGTACATTTACAAATCAAATCCCAAAACATTATTACTTCTCCATACCTTCTCTGCCCCAACCTACCCACGTCTACACCTCCCACCTTCCCGTCCCAGCTAGACTGTCTTGGCATCTGGAAACCCTCCTCAGAACACCTCAGCCTTATCTTTGTCTCAGCAGTGCTCCTTCACTGGCCTACTCAACTTCCCAACCTCCTGGCAATTCTCAGAAGCCCCCTCCCCTCGGCGGTAATTGTTTTGAGCTTTCAGATTTTGTGTGTGTGGTGAAGCTGAGAAAGTGCACCAAGATCCAAACAGCTGACATGAGTTATTCCACTTATTATTCCTGCTCTGGACATCACATATACATATTGTTCCAGGATGGCGCTGACCACGCCAATATATAGGGATCGTGGAACAAAGGTCTTTAATTTATTTGATTATCTATTTGTATATATATATATATTCCAATTAGTTATTCCTTATTCCCAGACCTCACCCGACACCAGCAGGAAGAATAAACAAGGGCACGTCGCATGAATCTCATCTTTCCAGCCATGATGCTACACAGTCACGGCCCTGACCTGTCGCACGATGCTGTTCATAGTCTTCCAGAAGTGGTGCCAAACCTTGCTCAGAAGGCTTCAACTAAGCGTCGACGAGGAGCATGAAATTCGATAGCCGAACTGGGACCAGCCTGGGTTTCAGATGGTTTCAGTAGGTTCTTATTATTTGCTGACAAATACGATCAAGTACAGCACCCGGCTCAAACAATCCAGAGTTACCCGAGCAAAAATAATCCCTTTTGTGTAGCCAGCGTCTTCTCTCCATATGGGATTCCAGTACAAAGAGAACGAGAATGTCTTCTTGCATAAGGGATTGTTCTGCGACTTTCAAAGTCAGTGGCAGCTCCGGGCAACTTGCGATATTCTTTTTGTGACAAGCTGCCAATCTCTTCTCAGCTTGCATGAGAAATCATGTTGCAGGATCGGCCAAGTGCAATCAGCAAGGATTTATATACTCTGTGGAATTCTCAGCCACTTGAGTTGTTCTCGATTTTAATTGTTTGGGGTGAATGCGTTCAATGGTTAGGACATGTTAGGACATCGCGTATCGTTTTACAGCATGCCGCATGTTATGGACTCACCGAAGGTATCGTTTCGGGGGGTGCAGGGTATTGATGCCCAAGGATGTCATGCACATGATAATAGGGGCATTGATTTTTGCAACGTGCCGTGGTGTTCAGGCGTAGCGCTCTTGAGTACCGTGCCAAAATTGGCAAAAGTTGCGTGTTGGACCTGAGTCTTTCTTTGTTTACGTTACAGTTGGTCATCTCACACTCCAGAGAAGCTCTTGACACCGACTCCACACTACCGCTCTGGCCACTGATCATTCTTTACACCACGTTGTAAGGGAAAATGGTCTTGAGAAGGTCTATTGACCATGTCCATATGAAAATTATCAAAATAGAAGCGTCCTCTTTAGTGGGAAATATTATGACTTGGGAGGTCCCTCAGTTTGAGAAACAACCGCATTTATGACCAGTTGTGTATCATGTGTATCTTTGCATGATGTGCAAGCCCGGCCTGAAAGGATCGTCACGCCCTTGCCCTTCTGCACGCATGGCTCTTTGAGCGCCCAGATGTTTTGCGGTCCATCAAGATATCGTTGCTGCAAAGGATGGCTGTCACCACCTTGGGATCGTTAACCCATCTGATGTGACAAGAAACTTTAGCAACTGCTGAAAGTATGTTTGTATTGAAGATTGAATACATTGAGTCATTGAGTACATGTGAAATAGAACGGTTCATATGATCACTGAAACAATGTCCCATTGATTAGCCCCGAGGGAGGAAAAAGGTTTGCTCTGTGATCACCTTCAGGAATCGTCAGGGCATCCCCTCATCAAAGCCAGGGGAGCCTGCTTGACCCGATATTTGGGCGCGTCCATGCTGCACCTGCAGCCCTACCGTATTATGTGGTGTCGGTATTAACATGTATGAACAACTAGTGTAATAAACCAGCGTTCGGCCCCATCATTTGTGACCTCAGGTCAGCGACAAGCCACCAATGCCAAAAATGAAGCACACCCGAACACCACATCGAAAGAATCATTGATAACACCATTGGCTTACAAGTTAACAGATCGAGGAGGTTGTTCAGCAGGAAATGATTTAGATTGGATTTGTTTTGTCAACTATATATTTGCGCTTGCACTGTTTCAAGGGCATTATGTGCACTAGAGGCCTCACACATATCTCGTCAATATTATGTAAGTGCAAGTTTGAAACGGGAGATTGGGAAATTCATCTGTTAAGTTTGATGGATTTTTTGGATCTCGATAGAAGGAGAAGCCTTAACACACTTTTTGGGTCTTCTGAAAAAGACTGGAGGCGAAGGTTTCCTGGTTGGGGAGCTTTGATCGGAGAACAAAACCTCTCTCGTGTGTGTGTGTGTCACCCCCTGTACCAAAGGGTTCAATGCCACTGTTTCCATTACCACCACTTAACAAGGCAGGGGGACGGGTCACCACCGATACTACCCGTCCAACGAAGAGGGTATCGGTTGGTGCTGAAGCAGTGGAGGACGCTCCACTGTGTACCTGCATCAAACGCAATGACTCCACTGGTTCCCCTTGCCGCTGTTGGTTTGTTTCCATGTTGGTTCTTCGCATGATATCCCCCAAAACAGGTTTCCTCGCACGGCGTGAATTCAGTCTGCTAAGTAATCAGTAAATAGTTTTCTGCAGTCACGCGTTAACCTTTGTTAAAACACCTTCAAGTACTCGGACTTTTCGCCTTTCGGTTCACTCTTTCCTTTCCTAGGTCTGCTAAGTACTCAGTAACTAGTTTTCTGCAGTCACCCGTCAACTTTTGTTAAAACACCTTCAAGTACTCGGACTCTTCGCCTTTCGGTTCACTCTTTCCTTTCCTAGGTCTGCTGAGTACTCAGTAACTAGTGTTCTGCAGTCACGCGAAACCTTCTGTTAAACAATACTGTTCTGCCGACTCTTCCTTTCACCTTTCGGTTCCATCACCATTTTTCCTGGGAATTGAGTTAACTGAAAACCAATGTCAGAGTGTGAGCCGCTCAGTCTTCCCACTCGGGTGCTGGGCGTGACCCTCCGAAAGGAGGCGCCGTTATCATTCCGGAAAGCATCGGTTTTTCTTTCTTATAACTGATTCTTTGTTTCTCACTTCCATAACTGAATTAACGGAGTTTCGAGCCGCCGGGCTATAAACGATGGAATTCCTTTTTGACAGACTGAATCAGTCTGCAACATGCCGCTAAGTATTCACCAGTCCATGTCACTCTGCTAAGTATTCACAGGCCGGCGGCCGGACGAATTAATCGTGCACCCCCTCCCTGCCCCTGGGCCTCCTCTGCTATCCCACCCGCTACTGAGCAACAGAAGGAAATCGCACTCAACACACTTGTGTGTTGGTGCCTTTCCTTCTGTTTCTCCTAGTCTATTGCTAGCTACCCGGGCGGTTTAAGACGAATGCCCCGCTCGCAAACTACTTTCGTTTAACTAAGTGGGCCTCGTAACTACCCCTATCTTTCTTTCTTGCCCTCTTAGTCTGCTTGTGGTTTGTTTTGCTTTGTCTGTCTTTCTAAGGCTTTTTAGGTGACTAATAGTTTTTTCGCTGCGCCAACAATTGGCGCTTTCTGTACAAATGTTCCCCGGGGAGTCAGGACGCTACTGGAGGCCCCTGGCCTCACTACTACTTTGCTAGGGGAGACCGCGCCGAATACGGCTCTGTGTGTGTGTCACCCCCTGTACCACAATGCCACTGTTTCCATTACCACCACTTAACAAGGCAGGGGGACGGGTCACCACCGATACTACCCGTCCAACGAAGAGGGTATCGGTTGGTGCTGAAGCAGTGGAGGACGCTCCACTGTGTACCTGCATCAAACGCAATGACTCCACTGGTTCCCCTTGCCGCTGTTGGTTTGTTTCCATGTTGGTTCTTCGCATGATATCCCCCAAAACAGGTTTCCTCGCACGGCGTGAATTCAGTCTGCTAAGTAATCAGTAAATAGTTTTCTGCAGTCACGCGTTAACCTTTGTTAAAACACCTTCAAGTACTCGGACTTTTCGCCTTTCGGTTCACTCTTTCCTTTCCTAGGTCTGCTAAGTA